AGTGCGGCTGGTCCAGGAGCCCGCCACCCTGCATTCATCTCAGGCCACAAGGCCATCCCTCACCAGCTGTCTCAGCTGAGTGGCTGTGGATGATGGCCGTGGTGCACTTCTAGGAGGACATGCTCAGGGCTCAGCCACTTTTGGGTCAGGCCCCCGGGTGCACCAGGCCTATGGACAGTACCTGCCGAGCATGTCTCAGTAGAGAGGCTGGGAAGCAGCGCCCTGTGGCCTGGGCTGCTCTGGAAGGCCCAGCACTCTTATAAAACCAGAGAAAGAGTCCTGAGCTCTCCCTGCTGGCGGCCCCATCACTGGGGTTCCAGGCCCATGCAATTACTTCAATTTGTAAATAGGCCAAAAATGCATTTATTTTTAAATACAACCTAAGGAGTAAAAATAGATTACATTCTATTATTAAAAGAATAAGGTGTGCCGAGCAGGCATACAGAATAAACTGCTGATGAGACCTGGGACTGAGTGGTGGCTCTTTTAGAAGTCTGGGCCTCAGTTTCCCCACATGTAAACAAGGCCCCCACCTTTGCTCAGCTGGGAGTGAATCTGAATGTTCCGAGGAGACCCTGTTCTGCCATCTCCTCACAGCCATCCCTACTCTGCCTCCTTTCTCTGCTGGAAGCACAAATATATTTATTTATTCTGTTTTTCTATTTCTTGCACTGGAAACTCCTGAAATAGAACAGGAGGTGGGACTGTGAGTTGAGGTCCCAGGGTAGAAGCTCTGCTCTGTGGGCCAGGTTCTGTTGCCCTGAGGTCACAACCTGGCCCTATACCCACAGGTCACAGAGACCAGCCCTGGGTCTGGGATAACGGGCCCTTCTGGAAGTATGGGGATTGCGGGACGCACTCTCGGCCATGCCACCTGGATTCCTCACCTCTGCTGTAGGCCCTGGCACTAATGGGAGGCTTGGGAACCCCTGCAGTGCTGCCCTGGGGATAATACTGGCCGTGTCCACAGCAACCTAGTGGCCCTAGACCTGGGGAATGGCTCCCCTCAGGGAAGGTGCTGGGCGTGACCTCATTTCCGGAGGCCTCCCTGACACATGGGGCCAGCTCAGAATAGACTAGCTCTGGGCTTCATAGAATATGTGCCCAAAGGAAGGACCTTGGAAAGCTTCTGTCAGGCAGGCCCATTACCAGCTGGTATGCTGGCAGCTCAGCGATTCCACTACCCTGGACAGACAGGTAGACAAAAGGGTCAGAAAGACAGACAGCACTGCTCCCCACACCATAAGACCAGAAGCTCCTGAGGATGATAGCTCCGGGAGGCCAGGCACCAATCTGTGTCTGAACTGGGGCAGGTGGCTGTCAGCAGACTTCCACCCCAGGGCTCTTGGCCTCAGACCAACCTTCTTGTTCAAACTAGTTGGGCCCAGCAGCCACCAACAGACTTCATGGGCCCCCAGCCTGCCTGCCTCTGACTCCCCTGACTGCAACCTTAGCTCAAACCTTGACCACAGGCCAACATATGGGGACAAAGACAGGCAGTTGGGCCCTGAGCCCAAATTTCAAACTCATCTATTTATTCAGCACATTATTTACTGAGCACTTGTCAAGTTCTAAGCACAGTGGAAGGGTAAGTAAACAAGATGAAGCAACTCTTGAAATTTATATTTTGATAAAGGGTAACCAACAAAATCAAGCAGATAAGCAAAGTGTGACAAGGCCTCCGAAGGCAACATCCTGTTCACTGCCTTTAGGTGTGGCAAGGTCTGGGCGGCAGCTGGTGGAAAAGCCTTGCAGGCAAAGAGCAGAAAATGCCAAGGGCCTGAGGCCAGAGAAACTTGCCTTTCCAGAAAACAAGGGCAGCAGGCCTGGTGGGCTGAAGGCTGGGCAGAGAGAATTTAACGAGGCTGCACAAGGTCCTGGACTTGATCCTAAGACCAAGGTGAAGAAGTCATTGAAGGTTCTGAAGCAGGGAATGACATGTCTGGATCTATCTTTAAAAGCACAGCTCTCAGGCCTCCCTGGTGGCACAAGAGGTTAAGACACAGCACTATGAAGCTATCAGCAGCCACTGCAGCATGAGTTCGATCCCTGGCCAGGGACCCACATGGTGCTGCAGACCTCTCCCATCTCGCCCGCTGCTCCCCTCAGCAGTGTATTTCAGTAGATCCACCTGTTCTGCACCCCACTATGTCTCTGGCGAATCTTCTCATGCCCCCATACCTCTGGCCTACACACCTACTCTTGTATGCATAAATCTTTTTTTTAAAAAAAGCATGGCTCTCTCCTAAGTGGGGGTGGAGTGGGATGGGGAGCAGTTGGGGGCCCTGTTGGGACGGTGCAATGCAAGTGCAGTGGCTCCTGCAGACGTACTCCTCGGGGACTGCTCAGTGTGGCTGGAGGGTGTTTCTTCCCTGTGATTTCTTTCTCCTCTCTCCCATCCCTACACCTATCATGGCCACAGTACCCCAGACGTGCTTGTGTCAAGACCCAGAAAACACAATCAGTCTGCACAGAAGTCCTTTCCAGTTCTTATTTTCAGAAGTTCAGTCCCAGATGAGGGAAGACTGCAGTGGTCTGAACAAATATTTCTTAAATGGAGTGGTCGGTGCACAGATACTCACTTATGATTATTTTTTAAGCTGTGCCTATGCATTACTCGTTGTCTGGTGTGTAACGATGTCTTGTACAATCTTTGAAGAAAATAGGTGTGGTTATTTCTTGTAAGACCTGAGTGTTGAGCTGAGATACAGATTCTTCATGATCTGCGCCACTCCCTTAACCAGGGAAAGCCACAGTTTGACCCCACTGTACCCCCAGGACATGCTCTCTGCTGTATGATGATGAGTGACAAGGAAATGTCAACCTACCCACGAGCTACAGTCTCTGTGTTTTATTTCTGCTTGAACAGGGTTTCAAGATGTGCTCATGAATATTTGCTCTGACAACTACAGAGAGCAGGACTGCTGTGTAGAGACAAGTAAAACCACCTGTAAATTTGCCTTGTGCTTACTTGAGAAAACAATGGGAAACAGCAGCCTGTCAAGGCCAAAGTCACAGAACAAATCAGGCACAGTCCTAGCCTTGAGGTAAGAATTTTCATCTCTGTCATGTTGAAATCCCTAGTAACAGCCCATAGAGTAGCTCTGTAAGCCACCCCCCCACCAACCCCAGGCAGTCAACTGGCTGTTCAATGAGCCTCCAAAGTCAAGGTCAGTCACAAGGTGGGTTCAGTTTGCAGCTGAGAGTGGAGCAAGAGCTCTTTGGAAAAGTCCCCCTGGGAAGATGCCCCTCCCCCAGCACGGGCCTGGCAAAGACTTTCTGAGACCAATTTGTTTAATGGATTTAATTGTCTCATAATAAACTGTGAGGGAGGAGCACGTTTCCTTCGAAACTTCTCGCAGTAAGAGACAGCATGCATATTGAATTAAATTGGCTGTGCATGAGGATGGCCCTGCTGGTGAGGAGCCCGCAGCCTCCTTAAGGACAAGCTCACCTGTGTCTCCTTCCATTTGCCCCAAGAGTGAGGTGGCTGGGTAGGCACACTGGGGGTAGATGGCTGGCACATGTTTTTAGCCCCAATCTTTATCTCCAACTCTGACCTATAGCAACATCCAATTGCCTGCTACACTGTGCCACTAAAATGTGTTCTGGACTTCTCAAATTTGTGTTCAAAATAGAATTCTTGATCCTCCCCCCGAACCCCTCAACCCTGTTTTCTTGCCCGCCCCCATCCTCCCATCTCCATAATAGCATCCGTCACCTTCTCAGGTTCAAAATCTCAACTTATTTTCTTTTTAAAATTAAGATATAATTTACTTGCCATAAAAGTCACCCCTGAAGTGTACAATTTGGTGTTTTTTAGCATATTCATGGACAACCATCATCACCGTCGATTTGAGAACATTATTTTTCTCCCTAGAAAGAACCTCCGTCCCGTTAGGAGTCAGCTCCCCTTTTTGCCAGGGCTCTTGGCCAGTCACCAGCTCAAACTGTGCCTTTGGCTTTGCTGATTTTCTCTGCACTATTTTATCTCTACTCTAATCTTTACTATTTCCTTTATTCTGCTAGCCTTGGGCTAGTTTGCTCATCTTTTATTGGTTCCTTAGGTTGTGAAGTCAAGCTGTTAATTTGAGATCTTTCTCCTTTTTATTTTTTTATTTTTTTAAAAGATTTATTTATTTATTCATTCATTTATTCATTTATTTAATTGTACAAACACTGGGTACAGTCAGAAGCGCGGGAGGGCGAGAGAATTCACCAGAGCCAGAGCGGGGAGCAGAGCAGGCAGAGTGACGAAGTACACTGCTGAGGGGAGCAGCGGGCGGCAGGAGAGGTCTGCGCGCCATGTGGGACCCTCCTCCGGTGGCCGGGGAGCAGCCGGGGATCGAACCGGCGCTGCAGAGGCTGCGGGCAGCTTCGCAACCCAGCGCTCAACCGCTGCGCCACCGGGGAGGCCCCTTTTTCTCCTTTTTAAAAATCAATATCTCTAGCCACACATTTCCCTATTAGCACTGCTTTCACTGCATTCTGATAGGTTTTGGTATGTTGTGTTTTCATTTTATTCATTGCTAAATATATTATGATTTATCTTGTGATTTTTTTCCTTGACCTGTTAAGAGTGTGTTTTTTATTTTCCATATATCTGTGAGGCAAATGTCACAGGTGTATTCACCTGTAAATGGGGAGTTGCTTTTTCAGGGGCTCTTAGTAGGGTTAAATGAGATGTGTGCCAGAGAACCCACAGAGCAGGTGTTGAGCAGGTGTCAATTAGCCAAGCTCAATGAGAAAGGGAGAGGATGGATGGACCAGGGACAGAGAGGCTGCAGGGCAGGGCCTTTGGGGCCTGGAGTTGGGCAGGAGGTGCACACCCTCCTCCAAGTATGTCTGATTCTCCCTGAGCCATCACCTGCAGGCCTCTGGCTGTGCCCACTGCAGCCAGGCCCAGGCTAACCAGAGTGGCCACCATTCTGCTAGGGGGTGCAGAGCCCCACCCTCCCTGCCCTTAGCCCCAGACACAGAGAAAAAGTCACCAAGGCATTTTCCAGTGCACTTTAATCAAAATTCCATCATCAGAATTCTGGTAGCATACAGTGTTGGGATGGGCATGTCAATTCGGTCCTACAAATGGAATTTCCACAGATTTGCACTTCAAACATGTATGAAAAATAAAATATATAATATTTAGCTTTATAAATTTCCCCACTTCATCATTTCATCCTAAAAATAAATGACTACCTCTGTCCAATAAATTAAGCAAGCCTGGCGTCACGAAGCAAACATCAACCAAGTAACATCATTTCCTGAACGAGGTCTGGGGGGAAATACTTGATGGAGACGGTCCGATGTTTACAAGAATCAACATGAATTAAAAGCTAGCACTTCTTCACAGTGGGGTGACATTAAAAAGTGGGAGCCTGTTAATGACTGTTCTTTTCTGTTGGGAAAAAGTAAACCCCCCAAACTATACCAAATGGCTGTAAAAGCTGCAACTGAACTTTTGGCACCAGTTGAGAAAAGAGGTCTTTTGAAGCCATACCCAGCGATGATTCTGTCAAAGCATGGGTCTGAGGGGGAGGTGGCGGGAGGGAGGGTGGCCCCGGCCCTGCTCCATTCCAAGTTCCCCTCTCAGCTCCACTCTGGGGCCACGGATGCCCCCTCCACCTTGGAGAAGGAGGCCTGCCCTCCTCAAGTTCAAGAGTTCCTGGGATGGGTTGATTCACAGCATGAAGAACACCTAGAGGAAGGCCCTTCTGCAGGGTCGGCAGCAGAGGTGGGACCTGCTTTGCTGCGTGCTCGGTGGACAGCAGGGTGTACTGAACACACGGGGGACACGGCCACTCCAGCAGACAGCTGCACAGTCGTTAAAGGGGACGGACAGAGGGAGCACAGGAGACACCAAGGATCCGAGAGGGCAGGCAGGGCAGGGGGCATTTACAGGAGCTCTGAGCAGGGCCTCAGGACTACAGTCCCTGCGGGGCAAGAAGTCCAATACTGGCCCACCTGCAGCTCAGGGTTCTCTAGGGGATACTGTCTCTACCCCCCTAAAGTGACAAAATCTCGGTAACAAACAAACAAGCTGGTGACAAATGCTGCCACAGAGCCTCAGTCTTTGAGATTCCCTGGGAATGGGACTTGGGGGCCCAGCTCATTCTAGCAAGAAAGAGGTTTATGCACAATTTAACTGGGGAGGAAGTGACCCCACACTTCCAACAGGATGGGCCCAACTCCTTGCCCCCGTGGAGGGGAAGGTGGCTACAAGTCAAGGAGCCGCTCCTCACAGGTCTCCACGGGCCACTTGGAGGCTCCTCCGAACACGTCCACATTGTTGTCCACCCAGGGGATGATGTTGCCCGGCATGTTTGTGGAGCAGTTGGCAATGTTGATAATCTCTTGGGCACGAAGGACACGGTCCCAAATGTTGAACTGGCTGAGCTCCCCGACAAATGCCTGTGTGGCATCAAACCTGCCCCCAACGGTGTCCTGGGAACAGGGACAGAAATCTGCATCAGTTTAGGTTCAAAGGCAAACTCTCCCCTGTTCTGTGAGTGGCTCCTGGGGATGGATGCCAGCCTGTGGGGAGGCTGTGGCGTGGGCATTTTTCTGACCCCTCAACTCTGGCCACATTCCCTGACCACTGATTCTGCAGGTTCTGGGGTTCTGGGCAAGTTGGAACTGGCAATTTCCCTCAAGCCACTTCATCTTACAGAGGGGATACTGAAGCTGCAGAGGGGAGACACTTGCCCAAAATTCCAAAGGGAGGCCTACCTGGGTCTCCCGGGCCCCAGCCCTCCCAGGGGAGGAATAACCAGGACATGTGGAGGGAGGGGCCAAGGAGGAGCTCCAATGCAAAGTCCCCAAAGCACCCAGATCTATGCCTTCACTTTCTGACAGCAAACCTCAAACACGGACTCAAATGTCAACTCTTCCCCATCCAAGAGCAGACAACCAGCTTAGGTTTCCTCTCTCTCAGACGGCAACTTTCTTGAAGGCCCCTCATTCTCCCCTTCCCTTCCCATCTCCCCCGCAGGGCTGAGCACTGCACAGATGCTGGCCAGCAGCCACAGAAGATGCAGTACCTGCCCCACCCCCAGAGTCAACACTGATAGGCAGAGGCCAAAGCCCAGAGCTAAGACCCTGGCCAGTCCTGCTCCCCAGAAACACCATTCTGAATTTATCTGAACCCACCACACCAACCTCACTGCTCGTCCTCGGTCCCTCAGTCCTCAAGACAGTGTGGGTTGAGCTGGCAGGACCTTGCCCATCCAAGCTGGCCACCATGCCAGTGGCGATTGGGGTGTGGGGCCTGGCCTGTGCCGCACAGCTGGCTGGCAGCTGCACCCATGGCCCCTGGAAGGGTGCAGGCCCAAACTACAGCCTGACTGTACCCACCTGCTCCTGCCCTAGGATCAGAACACCCCCCGGCTTGATGGGGTGCCAGGGGGCCAGGTTCTCCCCTGTGCCGAGCTTCTCCCCATCCTGGAAAGCTTCCCACATGCCGTCCCGTGTTGTCCAGGTTACACAGATGTGGTGCCACTTGCCGTCGCTGACAAACAGGGGCAGCTGTGCAACCTGTGGGCAGCAACATATGGGTGAGCTCCCCCCCACAGGCTCCCAGAAGTCAGGGCCCACTACTGCCCCCAGTACCCACAGTCACTCCTGGTCTCCCCTTCTCTGCTGCGTGGGTAAGGTGCCCCAACCTCCCACTTCAGAAAGGTCCTCAACAGGAGTTACCATGTGTGTGATAGACACTCAAGCCAGGGCCTAGCGCAGCCCCGCTTTCAGCTGGACACTCTTGGTCCCTCACCTGAGGAGGGTCCCAGATACCAGGCAGCCTGACAGGACAGATGTGTGGACAAGCCCCATGAATGCCTCATGCCCAGGCCAGGGATCTGCAGACGTGCACACGTGTGTGTGTATGTGTGCCCCCAGGGGTGTGTGGGGGCGCACACCGGTGGGCCCCACTCAGAGCTGGAGGGTACTGCCGACCTATGGCACTGCTTGTTGGCAGCCCTGTGAACTCTCCACAGACCAGCTCCACGGAGCCTCCAGTTGTTACTGCTGGTCTCCTAGCAACTGACTCTGGCCTCCCAGGAATTGGCTGTTTACAAGATGTCTAAACAGAGAGGAAAACAAGGCCCGCGGCCAGCCCTGCTGTGTCCAAGGGTGCTATTTAGAACCCAGGGACAGGGTCACCACTGGAAGAATTTCAGCAGGCAGATTCCACTGCACCCCCAAGGCAGTGAGTGCTCCTGGGGTCCCGGGAGCCAGGAAGCTAGTGCAGCCACTCAAACTCCTGCCTCCAGCGAGGAGAGTTTGAGGGTGCACTTTTGGCTGAGTCTGATTTCAGAATGAAAGTTTTGAGGTGGCGCTGTGGGCGGGGGGCGGTCCTCTGGACTCCCAAAACCGAGCTCTTGAGAAGACCACACTCCTGAATGGGCAAGCTAGTTGTCTAATGAAGAGGGACATTTACTCTGGAAGAGGCAAGACTCTAAGGATAGAGAACTCATCGGTGGTTACCCTGGGCTGGGTTGAGGCAGAAGCTGACCACAAAGGGATATGAGGAAATTCGGGGCTGATGAAGTTGTTCCAAATTTTAATTGTGGTGGATACACAACTGTATGCATATGTCAGTAGTGGGCAAATCATACACAAATATGTGTAAATTTTATCTCCATCCCTTCCCATCCCCCAATAAAAGGATGTACTCATAAGAAGTATATGCATGCACTCAGAGACACAAGTGCGTGCACACACACCCATCTGGTACAGCCCTGGGGAGCAGCCCTCAATGACTGGCCTAGGGACCAGCAATAATTTAGGCTGGCAGGCAGGGACCCCGGCTCATTCTTTTCCTTCTGCCATCTCTGGGTCTGGACCCTCACTTGGCTGCTTCTTGGTCAGACTCATAGCTTGGATGTCCAATGGCTGCAGCTGCCACCCTTAGCCCCTGCCAGTCAGCTACCCAGAGTAGGACTGAGTCAGGGCCAAGCAGACCCCATGGTGAGGGCAGCCACACAGTTGGCCATGGGACTGCCCCAACTTCCACATCTTTGTGCATGGCCTCGGGAAGGGCCGGGTGGTGGTGCAGGCAGCCTTACCTTGTCATTGATGAGCAGCTCGATGGGGTTGTTGCCCCACTCTATCAGCACGATCTCATTGGCCTGCCCAGGCACTGCATAGGAGAATGGGGTGCCAATGCCGGGCGAGGCGCTGGACCGCAGCCACAGGCAGATGGTGAAGGCGTACAGCTCGGGCAGTGTTTTTTTGATCTTGCCATACAGGTAGTTTGTGCGGAGAGGGAGAGAGACTTTGAATGCATCGGGCGACTTGAACGCACTGTTGCCTGGGGGTTGGGACAGGAGAGAGGCGGCAGTTCATTAGCCCACCGCTCCAGCAGCACCCAAGGTGACAGCTCACCAGGACCCTCCTGCCACAGTGCCTGCTACCAGCCAGATGCTGTTCTGAGTGCTGAAGCTCCAGGTGGAAACAAGAACATCCCCTCCTCAGGGGACTGATGCTCTGGGGGCAAGAAGGCCAGGATACTAGCAGCAGGTGCAAGAGAGAAGGTCAGGCAGCAATCCTGCTAAGGGGAGTGGCGGGGTGGGGGATGTGGGGACAAGCAAAAGTCTGCTAAGGAAGAGAATTTGAGCTGGAACCCATATGCAAACTGGAGGGGAGAAGACCATGCTGAGACCAGTACAATGGCCCCCAGTAGGCCCAGGAACACGGGTGGGAGACAGCTGGCACACCTTCTAGGACAGGAAAGAAGCCACTTGAAATCTAGAAAAGAAAGCTGTGGTCCCTTCTGGCTACCACTCCCTATCTTCATAGCCATGATGACTGGAAAGCTGAGTAACAGGCAGGAGAAAGCTGAATTCAGATGTGTGGCTCAATGAAATCAGACTTGGCCAAGTCTGATCCCTCAGTTATTTCCTTGAAATCTTGGTCCCTTGGGCTCCGTTAGTAAGAGCAGGGTGGGGACCCATGGACTTGGCCTTTGAGAGAGAAGTCTTACAGAGACCAAGGACTTGAGAGACACCCATCAAGCCAGGTCACTTCTCAGGTGGTCACCACTGTGACGCGAAGGGGACAGGGCCCGTATCTCTCTTTGCTCCCTGAGAGGAGAGAGTTTAGGGACCATGTCCTGCAGTTTGGTAGAAAAGTGCAGAGGTGTCTCTCCCCACCTAGGTTAACACACAAGATGAGAGCCTCAGTCTTTAGGGGCCCTCCTGGGCCATGGGAACCCCCCTCACATGGCTGTCCCTCTGGCACATCTAAACTCTCTGAAAACAACTGGTAATTTTGAGTGATTTTCAATATAGTTTTAATTTAAGCTCAAAGTTCACAACAAAAGCAAAGGGAGAAAGAGCCCCAAAGGCGTCACAGATTCCACAGTGCACAGAGTACCTTGTAATTCCCTGAGCTGTCTTGGCAAAAGCGTCCCTCTTATTTGGAGACTAGACACAGCTGGGGGTGGGGCCTAAATGCCCTTCATTCATTCAACAAGTGTTCACTAAGCACCCACAGGGGCCAGGTGGTCTCACTGCTGTTAAAGACAGGACCCCCAACCTGGCACTGAACTGTTTTGTGTCACCAGTGGGTGAAATCCATCCTTGCCTTGACCTTTCTGTAGAGCCAATGTCAGATGGGTGAACCTTCCTTCTCCACGGTCCCCCAGACCCGCTTCCAGTCATAGCAATAACACAAGGGAGCTCTTCGGCACATGGTTCACACCTACCCAGGAAGACCATCTGTAGAGAGAAGCAGCAGGGCCCGGGACACCCTTCCAACATTTCTGCAAGGGGCAGCATAGAAATCCCAGAAGCTGAGCCTCATGGAGTATTCACTCCTATCTGCTGCCAGTGTGGTCCTGCTTGGCCCATCCTGGCCTCCCACGGCTGGGCACCGCCCACCACCCCTCTCCCTCCACCCCAACACAGCCTGAGGAGCTGCTGAGCACCTAGCTGGGGCAGGAGAGACCTGGTCACCTGGGGAAACCTAGGCTGCATGGGGTCAGGTGTTGACTGGGACCAGCCTCCTATTGGGCTGAAGCAAAACAGAGACAGAAAACCAGAAAACCCCAACTCCCTGATTTCAAAGCTTACACAGCTGAGACACCAAGTGAAGTGACCCACCCAGGTCACACAGCTAGGAAGAGAGAATGAGGCCACCGGAGCTCCCCTTTTCACTACATGCGGCCACTAGTATTTAATCTGTAAGTGGCAAATGGCCATGTTCTTCAGGAAGGCATCAGCATCTAATCAGAGAACGCGCCCATCCTTGGAGGTGGGCAGGCTTGCTCACTTAATAAGGCTCGGTGTCGGTAATATTGTTAGCTTGGTGACAACAGATAGGTTTAATTAGAGCTGAGAGAGCGAGGGGCAGAGGAAGGGGCCTATCCAGAAAGCCAGAACCCTCTATTTATATAAAACAGCTCAGAGGTTCAGAGGAAACTTAGTTAAAACCAATTAAGTAATTAAAAGGCCTGACCGATAAATCAGAGACTGCAGGCGGCAAACAAGGCTAAGGAGGGGGCAGCTGGGACCAAAGAAAAAAGGGTTTGGACTCAGCACTTCAACTTCAAGGTGGGTGGGGCTGGTCAAATAGCCATTGTCAGGAGGCCCTTGCACTGCGCTGTCTCACAGAAGGAAATGAGCACCCTTGGGCCCTAGGTAGCACATGTGTCCTCATAAGAGCTGGACACTCACCACTGGCCTCAGGAGCTGCCTTCCCAGCAGAGCTCAGCCCACACACCCCTCCAGGCCGCAGTGCCCATGACTCCAGTTGTCCAGGGTCACCATCAACTTCAACCCCAGCTCTATAGCCTGACTCCACCCCTCATCTACCAACTAATACCTCCCTCCCAGGGTTGTTGCAGGGGTTACAAAAGATCCAGAATGTGGAACTCACAGCCTAGCATCTGGCCAGAACGGGCACTTAATGGCCAGGGAATGATAGGCTGAGGCCAGAGTCCCCCAGAGCTCCCCATTTTGATCTGTTTCCTCCAGGCTCAGCTGGACACTAAGGAACATGCCTGGTATATCTGGGAGCTGGGAGTTGACATATCACTTTACACTTGTCACAAACAGGCCTCAGGTTTGTCCAGAAGACAAATCAGTCAGCAAATGATCCCTTTCCTCAAAGACTCATCCTAAATTGGTTGGTGCACACAGAGGGATTCTGGAGTTCTCGTGAGGGGTCAAAAGGCAGCAGACAGTAGAAGCTGAGCTGCACCTCAGTGCCAGGTCCAGCCACCCAGGGGCCCTGGTCTGTTGAACAGAGCGCTCACCTGGACCCCTGAGATCTGTGCCCGACCAGCTCCGAGTACTCTCCATGGAAATCAAGCATCCAGAGTGGGCACAGAATCAGGCTGGTGGGTGGGCGTCCTGGCTGGTCTTTTCTAGCTGTGAATACACAGGCTAAGATGGGAGGGACAGTCACAAAGTGGCAGCTTTTGGGTATCCAAACCCAAAATGAAGGACCTCAAAGGAAGCTAAATGTAACTCACAACCAGCCTGCAGTCATAGAACAAAATGCAGGGGGCCAGTTTAGATGACTGTTGCTGCTCACCAGCTGGGGGCCCAGGTCCCACCTCAGTCCCCTCTCCTCAGATGACCCACATGTGGTTGAGAACTTCTGAGCATTTTCTTTAGCTGCAAGATGGTATCACAGAAGTCCTGTCTCACAGGGGTCCGGTGCTCAGCGGACTGCCTGGTGCTACTCCCAACTCAACAGACTTCTACTAACCACTAACGAGCAGGCTCCTAAGGCAATTCGACTGCGATGTGGCCATGGTGGTGGGGTATGCAGCCACCCAGGGAAGATTCCCTTCTCCACTCAGCAGTATCCCCTTAAAGATCCTAGCTGTAGAGGGCCTCCCCTCGTGGCGCAGCGGTTGAGCGTTGGGCTGCAAAACTGCCCACAGTCTCTGCAGCACCAGTTTGATTCCTGGCCGGCTGGTGAGGGTCCCACATGGCGCGCAGACCTCTCCTGCCATGCCCGGTGCTCCCCTCAGCAGTGTACTTCGTCAGTCTGCCTGTTCTGCTCCCTGTTCTGGCTCTGGTGAATTCTATCACCCTCCTGAGCTTCTGACTGTACCCAGTGCTTGTATAAATAAATAAATAAATAAATCTTTAAAAAAAAAAAAAGATCCCAACTATAGAGTGCCTGCTCCCAACCCTGGCATGTCCCAGGTTCCACTGACAATGCGGGGATGGGGGGTGATCAGGGAAGGCACCCACCCTCCCAGGGGACCCATGGCTGCTTCCTCTCCACCTGTCCTGTGAGAAAGGCAACAGCTGCAGCTGCTCACTGCTGCCTCTCGACATCTTGTCAGCTTCCTGGGGTCACCCAGCAACAGAGGAAATTTTTTTTAAACTCAAAAATCCAAATCTAACAAGTTAGCCATGTGCACCCCTTTCTGAGAAGGGTAAGGAAGAAAGCATAGACTGGAAGAGAACAGGAAAGGGATGAAGAAGGTCTGGGACTTCAGGATGTTGCTGGAACACTAACCCTCTCACCCCAGATTTCCTGTACCCACCCTCCCCAACCAACATCGAGAGAGCAGCTGAACACCCCACTATGGATATTCTTCTATCAGGTCAGGAAAGTGAGTAAGGAGAAACTGCCTTCGTTGGGCAATGCAGCTGAAAAGATCATGATATTACAACCTACTGCCAGCAAATCTAAAACTTCACACCCCACCTCCTCAGCAGTTTGGGGGTTGATAAGGCAGCCTGAATTATCTCGGGCCCTTGAGCCCTCCCCTTCTGATCTTCTGGGGGAGAATGTGCACACCAGAATGTGAGCAGAACACACAGAAAATGTGCTGCAAAAGGAACAAGTGAAAAGAAGCTGAAATGCCCATGTGGAGGAGGACAGGATGAGGTTGTTTGTCCATGCTGGCCCTGCAGCACCGACTTTTCCAAGGACAACGCTAGTAGAGCTAATTCCCAAGATGACCATCATCATGACCTGCTCCATGCTGTGCCACAATGTCCACTGACAGCCTGGGTCTGGCTATGAGTAGTGGAAATGAGGCCACTCCCAGCAGTGATCAGCCCCTTCACTGAGTGTCTTGCATGAGGTGCCAACAAGTCTGTTAAGTCAGCCTGACTGTGGGGGGAGACTTGTGGGGGAGAACACAAACCCTCTGTGCACCAAGAGCAAGTGATGACTCAGGTTGACAAAGCAACACTTCATTTCAAAGTCAGAGAAGGGGCTGCTGCTGCACTGTAAGGAATCTGGTGATCTTCTGCACCTAGGATAAGAGCCCACCCTCACAGCACACCCAAGGGAGAACAGCCTTGTGCCGAGTCAGCACAGGAGTCTGGGGAGAGCCACTTCCTCAAGGGCCCAAGTGGCCTGTGTCCTTGGGCCAGAGGCTCTGGCCCCTTCTGTCTGCTCCCTCTTGCCCTGAGCCCAGCTTCCTGGCACTGCAGCTATGAACCCAGGGGGTGGGGCTGAGGGAAGACAGCCAGGAGAGGCATAAACCAGCCACTACTGACCCCGTTCCAGCTCCGTCACCCTCTGCAGCAGCGCGTTCAGGGCGCTCTCCGTCTTCAGCCGGTGTGCGGATGTCTCGTTGTGGAGCAGGCTCTTCTCATCCTCCAGCTCCGCCACCTTGCGCAGCAGCTGCCTCTCCAGCTCCCCCAGCCGCCTCTGGAGCACCTCTCGGAAGTCCCCAGGCAGCCCCGAGGTGGACACATTCGTGCGGAGCTGATGCTTTGGGCAGGGGAGAGGGGGTAGTGTTGGTCAGTCACAAAGCTTTTGTAGGCTGTAGCTCTAAGGCCACACTTCCCCCAGAGCCGCTCCAGAGCAGGACAACTAACGTCTGCTGTGACATGCGGGGGAGCCTTTCACTGGTGCTTTTTTCATCCCACTGGTATGGAAAGGATTTCAAAGTCAGACAAGAATTACTTTGCTGCAATATTGTAAACTTATGAATCTCATTTTCCCCTCTCAGAAAGCTGTTTTTCTCCTCTTACTAAAAAGTCAAAGTTATAACCAGCATCTATCATTCTAGGGTGAAGACCAAAAACACAGTGAGCATTAAAAAAAAAAAATGAATCAAATGGTACAATGGATGAGCTTTCATCTAGATAGGAAAACAGAGCTGTATAACTCTGCTGCAGAGATGTCACTGGGAAACGGGAGATCTAAAACATGACTATTCAAAAGTCCATGAAATCTTTGTTTTTAATGCTGTTTCTAAATCCTCGCTTCCTGTTTCTGCTACTCCTCCATATGTTGGCTCTGGATGCTGGCGGGTGTTGCTAGCCATGTGTCCTCAGCAAGCCACTTACCCCTCTCTCTTAGTGTTCCAGATCGTAAAATGCCGATGATAGATCTGCCCCACAGGACTGTTGCAAGAGTTAAAGTTAAGACACTATGCCTGATGCACAGTGTGCAAAAACACTTGCAGTCATTAGTCATAATGAATCAAGGGCTATCCAGATGCTGAAAATACTGTATTTAGTGATCACACCACGGGAAACAAGTAATTTTGCAATAATTGCCACCTGTAAATGAAACCTACTTCGGCTAATAACTATTTTGGCAAACGTTTTGTAATAGATATGTCCATACTTCTTAAATTGGGCGGAAAGGAAAAGGGGAAATTAATTATTTCTCTCTCAAAGTTCCAAAACGCACACACTTTGCAAGAGAGAAAGGAATCACCCTCCCCTTAAAGCAAACACAGCGGCTCTCTCCTTAGGACCAGCAAGCCGCTGACAGAGGGGTCTTTGAAGTTATCAAGGTTTTTTCCAAGGCGCTTTCAGGTGCGGCTGGTGACCCACCCGCAGGGCCACAGCCAAGACCCGGAGGTCTCCTGCCGCTGTGGCTCAAGGGGAGGCTGGTTTATAAAAGGAAACAGGGGACGCGCGAGGCGGCTGACCTAAGCCAGAGTCTCACGTCAGCAAGCACAGCCTCCGCTGAGCGCGTCCCGGCCGGGGAGATTTGGAGATTTGCAATAAGAGAAAAAAGGTGGCCGGGTTTTTAGCCCCGACCTCGGGGCTAAACCGCCCCATAGTAGGCAGTCCCGGGGCGCGGGAGTATTAACCCTTTCCTTGCAGCAAGGGTGTGGGCGGAGAGGGGCTGAAGCGATCAAATAAGTTTCTGGGGCTGGACTGAAAATCCCCCGCCCTCCAAATTCAGCTCGCGCGCGGCAGCGCCCCGGCAGCCGTGTTCCCGAAAGCCTCGCGGACAGGACGAACCCCCACCCCAGCCCCAACCCCCGCCTCTGCCCCTCGCCTCGGGGGCGCCCCTCCAGCACCCCAGCGCCCTGCTACCTCGAGGCTCTCCAGGCGGTCCTTGAGGGTCTGCAGCGAGCGACTGAGCTGCTCCACGACGTGGCCGGGGTCCCGCGGCAGGTCGCCCATGGTATCCTTGCCGGTGCCCGCCTTGCCCGGTGCCTTGACGCCCGCCAGCCCTTCGCAGCGCGCCAGCTTGCCGGTGAGCTCGCGGATGGCCTCGCGCTGCGCGCCCAGCGTCTCCTTCTGCTGCACGACGGTCTCACGCAGCTGCAGCACCGCGGCCCGGAGCTCGTCCTCGGGGCTCAGTGCGCCGCCCTGCATGGGCATCGCGGGCAGGAGGCAGCCGGCACGCGCCGCCTCCGGGGGCAGCGCGGTGCACACGAAGTGGTTGCCGGGGGCCGGGCCATCCTGGGCCCCGGCGGCCACGGCGAGCGCCACGCCGGCGGCCAGCAGCGCTAGCATCCCGCTTCCGCCGCGCTCGCTTCGGGCATGGGCTGGGCGGGCGCCGTCGGGGCGCGGGGCGCGGGGCGCGGGGCGCGGGCGCCTTCCCCGCCGCTGCGTTGGGATGCGCTGCTCGAGGGCAGCTGAGCGCGGGAGCCCACCCAGCCCGCGCCGCCGTCCGAACTCCGCTCCCAGCGCCACCTGGCCCGGCCGGCCCGCGCGCCCTTTCTTAAGCAGGCGGGAGGGGCGGCGCGTGGGGCGCGGCGCCGGGAGCGCTGATTGGCCCGGCCCGTTGCGCGTCAGCGCAGGGGGCGGGACGGGGGCGCCTGGAGCCCGCGCGCCGGGCGGGCTGAGCGCGCGTGGGCTGAGGACAGGGGGAGCAGCTTCCGCAGCGGCCTCGGCCCGACCCCCCAGGAAAGGAGGGTGAAGAAAAACACCCCGTGGTGTCTTCTGGAACCTCGGCCGGCGTGTCCAGGCGCCCCTTGGATCCACCCGAGGACACCAGAGTCACGGACTGCGGAGAAGCGGGAGTCCCCTGATGCCCTGGCTCCCCGGGCGGCTGCTGGACTTCCGAGCAGCCCGGGCGGAGGGGCGTGGGGGGCCCTCCCTTGTCTAGTGAGACGGGTGAAGAGGAACCCCAGGCTGTGCTCGAACCCAGGGCTGCCATCCCTAGTCACCTGGTCAGAGCTGCCGGCCACCACACCCTGATTGAGGGCGGGAAGGAGCTGTGTGAGGACCACTTCTGGACATGCACAACTCCCCAGGAAGGTTCCTGCCTTGGGAAGATTCTGGGGTCCTCGAGGACCATGCTGACTGCAAAGAGGGGACGCCCCACAGATTACATGCAATGAGGGGCATGGATGGGGGCCAGTCCGAAGGCCAGGAGCTTTTCTGTGCTCAGTCAGCCCACCAGGTGGTGACCTTATTTTGCAAGACCTGTCAGACGGCAGTCACCGCGATGGTGTCGCCTAGCAAAACAGTCCCCACCCTTGTAAATGGGGTGCCCACATGTCCATTTCACACTTTGAAACCGTTATTCTCAGATTTCGTGGGGAGAACAGATCTGGACAGAAACCTGAAAGGGAGGAGCAAGTGGGTTTCAAAAGCTCGGTTTAGGAACAAATTCAGAGAGATTTTGATGCACAGCCACAGGCTGAGCTGGTTTACTGCACATTATAAATGGAAATCTTTATTTTTTTCCCTCTATGTTTTTAAGAAATCCTGTTGCAAGGTCATTAATCACGTTATCCATTTTACCAGAAACAAATGGATTTGTCACTTGTGCACAGAAGCTGAGGTTGATTCTGGAAATAAATTGTATCAAAATAAATGAAATTATTATGATAATATAAAATAGGCTGCAGTGATTAATCTCCAGAAACAAAATTTTGACCTGCATTGCACTTCAAACAATAGCTTCTGTTATGTAAATAGTTTGGGGGTTTTCAAGGACAACGTTGCTGAATTACAAGAAAAGTTCTATTGATGAATATCTCCGTGGATAAAAATTAGAGACAGGAAATTTGGTCTACACAACACCCAGAGCACAGAACAATGGAAGTAATGATGGTTCAGGTAAGAACGTTCATTAATAGAAAGGTATGAGGTGGGGATGGGTCTTGGCAATGGTCTAAGATCTCTGTTGGTCTGCTGCAGTAGGAGGTATCACTTTCATGTTGGAAATATAATCTCGAAAAGACTCATTCCTTTTACATCCTTCTTACTTTGGCTCCTTGAAAATACTCAAAGTTCAAATAAGCCCACACGATTGCAGTAATGAAGGTAACAAGTTTACAAAGCACTTTATAAAATCTTTCATTGTAGGTGATTCCATAAGGCACCAAATCCAGACATGTTCAGAATTATCCAGATAAAGACTTGACTTCTTGACTTTCAATTTTCACTCCTAGGCTAGGTTTTTTTTTTTTTTTTTTTTTTTTTTTTTACTTGTAAGCCTAGGTGGATCTTAATTAGATGTGACGGTAGAGTAATATCTCCTATCAATTGTTCCATGTATCCTTTTATGACACAGATTGATAAATTCATGTTTACAACTACTTGAAATAGAAGCTTGTTCCTTTAATGAGTAAATAAAATTAGAGTTCTAATTTCCTCCAGAAGAAAGGAGGCAGTGTCCAAAAAAATATAAAAAAAGTAATTACTCTTAAAGTTCTCAAAGGAGATTTCACTATATGGAGTGATCATAGAATTGCCAAAGCCCAGATGGAAAGACCCAGGCATCTAAGATGTTATTTGGTGGGGAAGAAGTATAATTAGAGGGCTTGGTTAATGGAGTATATGCTATTTAGGGTTTTATTTTGTCTTCACGGTGCAGAGGAAAGCCTGCTGGCTTAGGAACAAGGGGACTGAGTCCTAACACCATCTGTGTCACTAGCTAAGTGATTTTGAGCAAGTCATTTCTCCTCTCTGGACATCAGTTCCTCACTAAAGGGATTGGACTAGACTCTGAAAGGCCCTTCTGGCTATACTCAGGAGTTGGTAGTTTGAAAAAAAAATCACTGCTCAGTGTGATGAATGTTCCAGAGCCTCGTTCTTGCTGTATGGCTTTCTGTATAGCTACATGTACTGCTAAGGGTGAGTATGGAAAGTGGGGTGTTTGTGTAAACCTTCACACAGGAGATGCTGTAACTGTGTTTGAAAGTTTCTCTCAACAACACCAAAGTTCACCCTTGATTTACTCACAGCACAACAACCTTGTCTACCTGAGAGAGCCTGCCTTTCTGACTCATGCTACCCACAAGGATAGTTATGTGAGCGACAGCAACTAGGGCCCACAGATTTTTCTTCACTTGAAAAGTCGTGCAGATCTGCAGCAATGAATCAGCTCCAACTAATCCCTTAGTGTAACTGATGCTGCAGCATAGTAACCACCCACTCATTCACTATGTCTTCTGGCTTCCAGGTCAGCTGAGAGCCCAGTATGGACTTAAACCGTGCTGGGAATCCTGATGAGCTCATTCCGCCTCCATTTTATTGCCCCATCTGTCTGGTTCCCTTGTTCTTCTCACATGCATTTTTATCTTGGTCTTCTGGGAAATGTGCTAATTCCCACCATGGTGTCAGAGGATCCTATCTTATACTTTCTTGCATTTCCTCCTCTCTCAGTGCCACTTGGGAAGTCAAGAATGGGGGTGTGAGCTCAACAACAGAATCCAAGGACAACTTCCTGCAAACATGACTCAGGAACTGTCCTCGGTGCTGAATTTCAATTGGGAGGGAAACTGATGTTGCGGTGACTTTTTTTGAAAGTAGAATTCAGTGCAACTATAACGGAATTTGGAGGCTCCAGAGAATCCCAACTAATAGTCTTTATGCCTAAAATGCTAAGGCCCTTTCAAGAGTGGAGTTTTCACTAGACTGGACTGTGGTAGGTAGAATAAAAAGTGTTTGAGCCTTGGAGTCAGAGAGCTCTTGTTTCAGTCCTAGTTTTATAATTTGCCATTTGACCTGAAGAGGATAGCTTCAGTTCGGGCCTCCCCAGTGGCGCAGCGGTTGAGCGCTGGGTTGCGAAGCTGCCCGCAACCTTTGCGGCGCCGGTTCGATCCCCGGCTGCTCCCCGGTCACCGGAGGAGGGTCCCACATGGCGCGCAGACCTCTCCTGCCGCCCGCTGCTCCCCTCAGCAGTGTACTTCGGTCCTTCTGCCTGCTCTGCTCCCCGCTCTGGCTCTGGTGAATTCTCTCACCCTCCCGCGCTTCTGACTGTACCCAGTGCATGTATAAACAAAAAAAACAAACAAACAAGCAGACAAATAAATAAATGGAACATGCCTCTATTAAAAAAAAAAAAAAAAAAAAAAAAAAAAAAAAAGAGGATAGCTTCAGTTCTCCTAGATTCCCTTTTTTTCACCTCTGACATCAAAGTTTTGTGTGAGGCTTGAATGAGATGATGTGTGTGAACATGTTTGGTGCATAGTAGGTGCACAATATATACTAATTTTCCTTTTCTCCACTGAATCCAGAGCTGAAGTATAAGTTATTTTTTGAACAAAGTTTAAATATTTCCTATATGTTCTCCAATATCCACATAGAATTAAATAAGGCAATAAATCTTGAGAAAAAAACAGGCCAACCTCTTTAGAGGGAAGACAAGGGATGAAACTTACCAGTGTCAGCATGAGAAAGTTATTCTACTCTGTGGGGTTTTTAAAAAAGATAAAGCATTGTGGTTTTGAACCTTAATCAGAGGATTCAGTTAAAGTAAACCATTTCACTTATACACTAACTTAGACTATATCACCAGGCTGAATGTCCAGACCCAACTAAAAAATAGTAGCCTTTAACATTTCAGTGATTCTGATTTTGTATTGCTATGGGTTCCTGAGAGATATAAGGCCCCCAAATAAAGAAAATGTTCCTTCCTTGGTGCATCTGGGTTCTTCTTGAATAACATATTTCTGGTTTAATTTTGGGAGTATGTGATAGGAGACATCGAGTGTCAGGAAGTGTTCCTGTGCAAGTATATTATCACATGTGGCTGAAAAGCCATGCTTTCGGGGGAGTGATTGGTTAAATTGCCCAACTGACTTCAACAAACAAGGCTTTTGGAAGCATCTTCTGATTTCAAGCAATAGAACAAATTGCTGTATAAACCAGGGACAATGTCTTAGCTCAGTTTTTTAAAGTAAAGGATAATAGATCGGGATGGGAAAAGACTGGAGGAAGGGACCCCAGGAATTTGGTTTGCTTTGAGGAAACACTCTTAAGAATATAGTCTCAAATTTTCTGATTAAAAAAACAATTGAAATTCTTTCATTTTCACACAAGTTACTCGTGATGGAATTGACCTATCTAATATAGATTTGTAGCTCACTTTCTCCATATAGTTTAACCACATTGTGTGAACCTTTGAAATTGAGGGTTAGAAGAGATTTTTTTTAGAAATAGTTTAAGAAAAGTGAAAAGTTCCTATGTCTGTTAACAGCAGGATCAAACTGGAACCTAGCTTCTGATTCCCAGTCTAAGGGCCATTTTCTCTATACTACTCACTCCCCAACTTATGA